GATTTCATTGCTACACTTATCCCTAAATTTAAAAAGATTTCATTGCTACACTTATCCTTAAATTTATGTAGATTTCATTGCTACACTTATCCCTAAATAAATTCATTGCTACAATTATCCCATAATTGATGTAGATTTCATTGCTACACTTGTCCCTACATTTATGTAGATTTCATTGCTACAATTTCACTAAATTGATGTAGATTTCATTGCTACACATATACCTAAATTTACATGGATTCCATTGTTACTTGTTACACATATACCTAAATTTATATGGATTTTTTTGCTACACATCTCTCTAAATTTATACGGATTCCATTAATGCATCTATCCCTAAATTTATATGAATTTCATTGTTACTTGTTACACATACACCTAAATTTATATGGATTTCTTTGCTACACATCTGTCTAAATTTATACGGATTCCATTAATGCATCTAACTCTAAATTTATATGGATTTCATTGCTACACTTATCCCTAAATTTAAATAGATTTCATTGCTACACTTATCCCTAAATGTATGTATATTTCATTGCTACACTTATCCCTAATTTTAGATTTCATTGCTACACTTATCCCTAATTTTATGTAGATTTCATTGCTACACTAAGCGGCGTAGCGAGGGGTGCGCATTTAGACAAATATAGCCTCCTGTCACTTACGGAAGTTACCGAACACTTCAATCGGCGTGGAATTATAACTGTGTTTTTCTGACCTACACATAGGGTCATCTCATTTCTGACGCATCAGCCATTAACTTTTAAGTAAGCAAGCATTTGTGAAAAATGTATGTTTGATTGGTTATCCTTTTATAAATCTTGGTTAGACCTTGCATTGTGTCCGCTGTAAATATGCAATTTTTCAAAAAAAATTAAATGTCCTTGCAAATCATGTGCAAGAGATTCTTATCATGGATATAAAGGCTGCGAGGTATTTTGGAATTATTTTCAAAAATATTTCTGATATATCACACAGTGACCAGATGTCTGACGTGAACAGGTATGTGAAAATCCACCATGGGAAAGTTGAAGTGAGAGAAGTGTTTCTTGCATTTTTCCTGTTAAGAGGAAAAAAGTTGAAGACCTGAGTTCGGACATTCTTATAAATCTAAAACGTTATGGACTAGACATAATGATGTTCAGAGCTCAAGATTACAATACTGCTGCTACAATGTCTAGAATCCATGGAGTTGTTCAGGCCATTCAGAAAAGAAATCATAAGAAAGCAATGTAATGGATGTGTGGGCCATTCACTTAACTTGTGTGGTCAATACTCTTTTTGCAGAAAATGCTTTAGTGTAGAACATTTTTCGGAACTCTTGAAAGAATATTTTCCTACTTTACTGCATCCACTCATGCATGGAATGTTTTAATTGAACACACTGGAATGGCGTTGAAAAGACTGTCAACAACACGTTGGAGTGCTCATCATGCTGCTGTTAAAGCAGTGAAAGATGACTTTGATGAATGTGTAGCGGTGACTGAAGCTCTGTATCTTCCTCTTGAAAATTTGGATACAAGAGTTACAGCCCAAGGTCTTTTACATGATGTCTATGATTTCACGTTTATCTGCTACCTTTCCATTTAGGCTGATCTACTTGAGGAAGTTAATCTTACACAGCAGTATTTACAGACTAAAGGCTTTACTCTTCACAAAGTGTTGGCAAACCTAGAGGCCTTAAGATTGTTTCTGCACGAGAAGCATCGTCACTTGGAGGAACTTGCTATTGAAAAGGCACTTTTAAAATCAGATCAATATGGAATTTCGGTAGAAAGAAGATTAAAGTTTAAGAAGAGAATGGCAGGAGAACAATTAATCGATGCTGGGCACTCTGCGAGAAGAAAACAGTAGGGAGATGCTGGAGTGTATTGATCGCTTTCATTTTGAACTCCAGTTCAGATCATCAGCGATATAGGAAGTAAGTATCTGATATGTTTGGGGCTTTTCAACTCATCAGCAAGTGAAGAAGAGCTATTGGTGTCCGTGCCTAAATTAACTTCTTCTTATAATGAGTTATTAGAAGATGAACTTTTGAAAGAAATATTATACCAAGGCTTAAAAGACAGCTGATAGTGAATTTCACAAAGTCATGGACTGGTCGGTATTTGATGTTTTGAAATTCATAGCTGAATCGGACTTCCCAGAATCTCTTCAAACACTCTCGATAACCCTTCAATTGTTTCTTATGATATGTGTGCATGTGGCTTCATGTGAGCGGAGCTTTTCAAACCTAAGGCTTATCAAGAAATATTTATGATCCACCATGGGGCAGTTTAGGATTTCTGATGTGACTCTGCTATCATTTGAAAGGGATACAGTGAATGATATAGATTTTGATCAAGTGATTGACAGGTGTGCAGCTTTGAAGACAAGGAAAGGAAAACTTTAAATAAAGTAAATTTAATGTAAAAATAACTATAATTTAACGTTGTTACAGTTTTTAAATACATTGACCTCAATACCTTCATTAATATGTTTTTGTTTTGTAATTTTTATACCGGTACTGTGGACTTATTTAAACTGGAAGAAATCCTTCATGGAAATTTGTGTGTGTTTGTGTGGGGGGTGACACCATGAGTTTACTGCACCGGGTGAAACGTGGACAGTCTACCAACGTCACGCCAAGAAACTGAATCATCTTCACAATACCTGCCTCAGGAAACTCCTCGACATCAGGTGGCAAGACAAAGTCCCCGACACCGAGGTCCTCGCTAGAGCGAACCTACCTAGTATCTTCACCACTCTGATGCAGTCTCAGCTCCGTTGGATGGGACACGTAGCCCGTATGGNTTTGGAGAACTCACGATAGGCAAGCGCTCCCAAGGAGGCCAAAGAAAGCGTTACAAAGACTCACTGAAAATGGCACTAAAGGCCTTCAGCATAAACCCTACTCAATGGATGCAGACAGCCCAGGACAGAGCCAGATGGAGAACTGCTGTCAAGAAGGGGGCTAAATCCCATGAAGCTAAGAGAATAACCACAGCTGAGACACGCAGGCTTGTCCGAAAGAGCAACATTAGGTCATCGCCTGAAGCAACTATTCCATGCCCACGGTGTCATAGATTATTCCGAGCAAGGATCGGTCTAACAAGCCACCTAAGAGCTCACCGTAATCCCACCCCCCCCCCCCGCCCGCCCCAAACCGGATGATTCGATGGTCCTTGTCGACTTCGACGGACAAACACAACAACAACAACTGCACCGGGTGACACCATGAGTTTACCGCACCGGGTGACACCAACCCTTGCTACACCACTGGCTATACTTAAGTTTTTTTTTTATATTTAAAATTACATTAATGTCTTCCAACACCACTCTCAATTCATTTGACAGTATGTCAGATGAGGTTCGGATGGAAGAGGATGTTTGAAATCATTCTTAAATACATCATCCGAATGTCTTGCTCGGTAGGACTAACACTAGTCTTCTATCAACAGATCGTTGGAGTGCGAGACCTGCTCTACACATTCAGCCAAATTGAACCTTCTCATGTCGTAGGGTTTAGGGCACCATATCTGAAGCTCATGGGAAACAAAATGTATCAGGTGAAATTATTAATGAGCGACATAAGAGAGATGGGTAGCGAGAGATTGAAAAAGAGAGGGAGAGAGAGAGAGAGCGATAGACAGAGAAAGAGAGAGGGACATAGAAAATTAGGATAGAGGGAGAGAGACAGAGAGAGAGAGAGAGAAATATATTCTCAGATAGAGTGAGAGAGAGACCAAGTGATAGAAATATACATTTGGGGATGGACAGAAGGAGATAGACAGAGAGAGAGAGAATGAGAGAGAGAATGAGAGAGAGAGAGAGAGAATGAGAGAGAGAATGAGAGCGAGAGAATATGATAGAGACATTTGGGGATGCTTAGAGTGAAAGAGACAGAGAGAGATTAGATAGGCAGAGAGACACGGTGATAGATAAAGAGAACGGGGAAGTTTAGAGAGATTGTGAGAGAAACAACGAAATAGAAAGAGAGAGAGAGAGAGAGAGGAATAGACAGAGATAATTGAGACTGGGCACACAGAGATTATGGGGAATGGACAGATAGACCGAGATAATTGGTAATGGGCAGAAAGAAAAAGATAATTGGGGATGGACTGATAGACAGAAAAAGAGACTGGGAGACAGAGTGAGTGCAATTAAAAATAATTTGAATCAGAAACACAAACAGAGAAAGAGAGAGAGAGAGAAAGGGATGGAGGTATAAAGAAAGAGCAAGAGAAAAATAACGTTTTAGTTCAAGAGGTTTAGAATTGTTCATCTGATAAATTTTAATTTAATCCAATTACTTTTTTAAGTATCAACATTTCAAGCCATGTACAGCATTCGTATCTAGGTGCTACATTCGTATCTAGATGCTACATTCGTATCTAGATGCTACATTCGTATCTAGATGCTACATTCGTATCTAGGTGCTACATTCGTATATAGGTGCTAATCTCGTATCTAGGTGCTACATTCGTATCTAGGTGCTACATTCGTATCTAGGTGCTACATTCGTATCTAGATGCTACATTCGTATCTAGGTGCTACATTCGTAACTAGGTGCTACATTCGTATCTAGATGCCACATTCGTATCTAGGTGCTACATTGGTATATAGGTGCTACATTCGTATATAGGTGCTACATTCGTATCTAGGTGCCACATTCGTATCTAGGTGCCACATTCGTATCTAGGTGCTACATTCGTATCTAGGTGCTACATTCGTATCTAGGTGCCACATTCGTATCTAGGTGCTAAGTGAGTCCACAGAAGTACGCCTTTATGTGCTATTGATTCATTCGTTATCATGTGCTACATTCGCTATCATGTGCTACATTTGCTATCATGTGCTACATTCGCTATCATGTGCTACATTCGCTATCATGTGCTACATTCACTATCATGTGCTACATTCGTATCTAGGTGCTAAGTGAGTCTAAGTTTAGATATGACGCCAGTATCTCCAATATAGAGAGGTGGAAGGGAGGACCACACCTCTGGCCATTCACGATGGACTTTCCAATACCACCTGACAGGTAAATCGTTAGTGTTACCCTTGGACGTAAAACTAATACTCCTTTTTTTATGCCCATGCAAATAATACTTCAAGTATCAGTCCAAACAATCAACACGCCATGTATCAGTCTATATAACCAACACCTCATTGATCAGCCTATACAACCAACACCCCATGAATCAGTCTATATAACCAACACCCCATGTATCAGTCCAAACAACCAACACTCTATGTATCAGTCTATATAACCAACACCTCATTGATCAGCCTATACAACCAACACCCCATGTATGAGTCAATACAACCAATACCCGGTGTTTCATCTCATGCAATTAATTGACAGTATCTCTGCTCATACAACCAATACCTTTAGTCTTAACTCAAACAATCAAAATCTTTTGATTAATTTGCTGAGCCTCTACAATCTCTAATTCCGTGCGTCAGCCTCCACAATCTCTAACTCCGTGTGTCAGCTTTTACAATCTCTATCTCCGTGTGTCATATACATATTTTCAAGTATACAACGTGACTTACACGTCATATTTCAGATAAACACCTGGCCAACTACCTGGCCCCTTCATGGCTCACATAATAGATATTCGGCAAATAAACGGATCCTAAATAAATTTAAATGATTTGATTTGTATTTCCTGATTCCTAGATGCCCCAATTTTTTTAATGTGTATTTCCTTATTCCTAGGTGCCCCAATGATTTGATTTGTATTTCCATATTCCTAGATGTCCCAATGGACCTTGCCCCACCGAGAAGTTTCCTGGTCTATGGGCCATCCCCCTCAACAGCTGGAAGACCACAGATGGGAGTAGCTACTGTAGCATGATTGATGCCTGTGTGGTGGCCGACCCCGCCGATGACGTAGCCACGACGAAAGAGAAGTATTTGCAATATTTCAGGAAGAATTTCTACGAAGATTTCTACCCAAGAAAGGTATTTATTTTCACGGCTTCGTTTTCCAAAGTTAAATTCTTTCTTACTCATAAATAATTTTTTTCTTACATTTCTTCAATTAAATAAGGAAATGATTGCACTAATTACGCCAACGGATTGTGTTGTCTAATCATGCAAACATATTATGCTAATGCACTGAAGAATGTACTTTTAAATGTTTTGAAATGTTAACATATCGAGGTTTGTCTTATTTGAAAAGATGTGGAAAACCACAAGTTATCTCTAATTGTGAATTTATGTAATTTCTCTTAATTGTCACTTAATGTACCGTAATTAATGTCTTATTGATTATTTTATCTTGTGTAACCATTCTCTAATTGTGCCATTTTTCGTATTTGCTGTATAATTATAATTGTATGTCACTGTAGTTTAATTATTAATTTTTGTACCTTGCAGGTCCCCATTGAAGTATTTACGCATTCATCTCTGTTCTTGCAAGTCCCCAGGGCAGTATTCTCTCATTCATCTCTGTTCTTGCAGGTCCCCATTGAAGTATTCACTCATTCAGATCTGTTCTTGCAGGTCCCCATTGAAGTATTCACTCATTCATCTCTGTTCTTGCAGGTCCCCATTGAAGTATTCACTCATTCAGCTCTGTTCTTGCAGGTCCCCATTGAAGTATTCACTAATTCAGATCTGTTCTTGCAGGTCCCATTGAAGTATTTACTCATTCAGCTCTGTTCTTGCAGGTCCCCATTGAAGTCTTCACTCATTCAGCTCTGTTCCTGAGAAACCCCGGCAGCTTTGATGCATTGAAAGACTTCTTACTGGAAATAAACAAATTAAAAAATGTTTGGATTTTAACCCCGAGTCAAGTCATAGACTGGATGCAGCGACCTGTCAGCAACAATGACGTCACGAATGGTGCCATTAGCTCCTGGAACTGTGGCAGTGCGGATGCTTAGTCTCATCTTTAGTATGCTGGAACTGTGACAGTGGAATACTTAGTCTTATCTATCGTATGCTGGAACTGTGACAGTGGAATGCTTAGTCTTATCTATCGTATGCTGGAACTGTGACAGTGGAATACTTAGTCTTATCTATAGACTTAACTTTAGTCTGCATTATTTTAATTTGTCATCCTGGTGAACAACATAAAATAAAAAATCTTTTCCTCAAATATTATGATAGTGTTTTCTCATTTTATGGTTAATATGCAAGCACGTGTTTGATTGGGAGCCTGTGCATATTGGCACTGCGTAATATGCTGTGTATATGGGCACTGGGTAATATGCTGTGTATATGGGCACTGGGTAATATGCTGTGTATATGGGCACTGGGTAATATGCTGTGTATATGGGCACTGGGTAATATGATGTGTATATGGGCACTGGGTAATATGCTGTGTATATGGGGTATGGGTAATATGCTGTGTATATGGGCACTGGGTAATATGCTGTGTATATGGGTATGGGTAATGTGTTGTGTATATGGGCACTGGGTAATATGCTGTGTATATGGGCAATGGGAACTATGCTGTGTATATGGGGTATGGGTAATGTGTTGTGTATATGGGCACTGGGTATTATGCTGTGTATATGGGGTATGGGTAATGTGTTGTGTATATGGGCACTGGGTAATATGCTGTGTATATGGGCAATGGGAACTATGCTGTGTATATGGGCAATGGGAACTATGCTATGTATATGGGCAATGGGAACTATGCTATGTATTTGGACAATGGGAACTATGCTGTGTATATGGGCAGTGGGAACTATGCTATGTATATGGACAATGGGAACTATGCTGTGTATATGGGCAGTGGGAACTATGCTATGTATATGGGCAATGGGAACTATGCTGTGTAGCATGAAGCTGTACTGTAGGTGGCTGCTCAACCCGGTAGAATAAACTTTATGAATGATTTATGTGGCATTGACAAACTAAAGACATAAGAGATGACATTTTCTGTCCACAACAAAAAACCATACGATTAATTGATTCTAATGGAATATCATGTTCAATCAAATCTCCTTACAAGTAAGATGCGTTTTGACAGCTGATCTCTGCGCATGCGCACTCGTCGTGTTTCGATCTGGAATGTGAACGTACACGATGTTTGCAATTATTCCCGAATTAATCTTCAATCACGACATGCAATCACGACATTCTATCACGACATCCAATCACGACATGCAATCACGACATTCAAATACGACATTAAATAACGACATACAAACACAACATTAAATAACGACATTCTATCACGACGTTCAATCCTGACATTCTAGCATGACATTAAATAACGACATTAGGAAACAACATTCTATCACGACATTCAATCACGACATTAAAGAGTGACATAATAATCATGACATCAAGTAGCACCATTCTATCACGACATTCTATCATGACATTAAATAACGACATTCGATCACGGTATTCATTTACGACATTAAATCACGAGCTCATAACTTGCTTTAACAAACAGAACAAGTTTGTACAGGGTTTGTCCCCTTGTTCATTAATATATATTTTTGTTACATTCCCCTCACCCTTTTGTTTCGTTTTTTAGTTCAACTCTCAATTTATAACTGTCATAGACATTGCAGAACGTTTGGATGGGCGTCACGTGATATCTTAAGTTCTGTCCTAACTACCAATTATTACTGTCTATATTTAATAAATTAATCACTATAAGTAATCAACAAAATCATTGATAGATTTAACTGTGTATTAAACATAAACTAATATGTATCCAATTACACCCACATATATTTTAACACACACCCAGACATTTCAACTTACACCCATATATTTCCACTCACACCAAAACATTTCAACTTACAACCAGAAATTTCAACATACACAAAAATATTTCAACATACACTAAGGCATTTTTACGTACTTTAAGAGAACTCAACTTGTAGCAAGATTGAAAGAAACAACACCGAACAAATAAAAACTCATACCACGAACTTACAGCACACAACACACGGCATTTACTTACAGCACACAACACACGGCATTTACTTACATCACACAACACACGGCATTTACTTACAGCACACAACACGGCATTTACTTACAGCACACAACACGGCATTTACTTACATCACACAACACACGGCATTTACTTACAGCACACAACACGGCATTTACTTACAGCACACAACACGGCATTTACTTACAGCACACAACACGGCATTTACTTACAGCACACAACACGGCATTTACTTACAGCACACAACACGGCATTTACTTACAGCACACAACACGGCATTTACTTACAGCACACAACACGGCATTTACTAAAGCACACAACACGGCATTTACTTACAGCACACAACACACGGCATTTACTTACAGCACACAACACGGCATTTACTTACAGCACACAACACGGCATTTACTTACAGCACACAACACGGCATTTACTTACAGCACAAAACGACATTTTATCTTAAACCACGACATTTCAATTTACCCAGACAATTCCTCCTAGACACCAACATTTCAACGCAAGACATTACAAATAGCTTCAAGATATCTCGTACCAATATATTTATTTCCAGCACCTAGAACTCACATACCTAATGAAACTATTGAACCCCACGCCAAGACATTTCATCTCGTACCAAGATATTTATTTCCAGCACCTAGAACTCACATCCCTAATGAAACTATTGAACCCCACGCCAAGACATTTCATCTCGTACCAAGATATTTATTTCCAGCACCTAGAACTCACATCCCTAATGAAACTATTGAACCCCACGCCAAGACATTTCATCTCGTACCAAGATATTTATTTCCAACACCTAGAACTCACATCCCTAATGAAACTATTGAACCCCACGCCAAGACATTTCATCTCGTACCAAGATATTTATTTCCAGCACCTAGAACTCACATCCCTAATGAAACTATTGAACCCCACGCCAAGATATCCTCGAAATAAGACAATTCAATTTACACCCGGAAATTTCATCCGACACCAACGGATATCATTCAACATTTAGATATTAAATCCCACCTCAAGACAGTTCAGTTCATACCAAGACAGTTCAGTTCATAACAAGACAGTTCAGTTCACACCAAGACAGTTCCGTTCACACCAATAAAGTTCAGTTCAAACCAAGACAGTTCAGTTCATACCAAGACAGTTCTATTTACACCAATAAAGTTCAGTTCACACCAAGAAAGTTCAGTTCAAACCAAGACAGTTCAGTTCACACCAAGACAGTTCAGTTCACACCAAGACAGTTCAGTTCACACCACGACAGTTTAGTTCACACCAAGACAGTTCAGCTCACACCAAGAAAGTTCAGTTCACACCAAGACAGTTCAGTTCATAACAAGACAGTTCAGTTCACACCAAGAAAGTTCAGTTCACACCAAGACAGTTCAGATCACACCAAGGCAGTTCAGTTCACACCAAGACAGTTCAGTTCCTACCAAGACAGTTCAGTTCCCTACCAAGACAGTTCAGTTCCCACCGAGACAGTTCAGTTCACACCAAGACAGTTCAGTTCACATCAAGACAGTTCAGTTCATACCAAGACAGTTCAGTTCACACCAAGACAGTTCAGCTCACACCAAGGCAGATCAGTTCACACCAAGATAGTTCAGTTCCTACCAAGACAGTTCAGCTCACACGAAGAAATTTAAACCTACGCCAATTGCAGCGAGGGCAAGGAGGTAGAAAGGGAATGGAGTGGATAAGGAGATTGGATGGTAATGGATAAGAAAATGAGATGAGAGTGGATAAGGTGACGGGATGGTAATGGATAGAAAATGGGATAGGAATGGATAAGGATATGGGAGGGGAGTAAGAAAGGGATGAAAGTAGAGACAAACCGAACGTGATTTTTTTTTCCGTTCGGCTGAAACCGAAACCAGACCGAACGTTATAAACGACTTTCGGACGAACACGAAGCAGAAACCAAAAGCTAATCAAGACTTTCGGCCGAAACCGAAAGATTTTAATATTTCAAAAATCGTTTTTCTCATTCTGCGCAGAACGAAAAATCGCGGAACAACTTTTCTGGCAATGTTTGTTTGTCTTAAGTGACTCTCATACAATTTTCCCCATGGAATGGAGACCTCCATCCCACAACCCCGACAAACACACTATTTTTTTTGCAGTGTCACTTTGACTGACCATTGGTAAGTCTATAAAAGTCTTACTAACCATTTGTTTAAGCCGACTAAACATATTGTACCTCAACCACCCTGTTTATCATCCAAATTGAATCAGGATTAACTTTGAAATAGTCAATGTGGGCTCTTAGAGCTTGTCACCAGACACGTCCGTCACACAGACAGACACACACACACACATACCGGGCAGAACAAATACATTTGCCATTTTAAAAAAATCTAAACTAGGAACGGCTCTCGATAAAAAGCCATGTCATCTTAATGTTACAGTCAGAATTTGTCATCTTAATGATACAGTCAGAGTTTGTCTTCTTATTGTTACAATCAGAGTTTTTTCATCTTAATGTTACAATCAGAATTTGTCATCTTAATGTTAAAGTCAGAGTTTTTTCATCTTAATGATACAGTCAGAGTTTGTCATCTTAATGTTACAGTCAGAGTTTGTCATCTTAATGATACAGTCAGAGTTTGTCATCTTAATGATACAGTCAGAGTTTGTCATCTTAATGTTACAATCAGTGTTTGTCATCTTAATGTTACAGTCAGAGTTTGTCATCTTAATGTTACAATCAGAGTTTGTCATCTTAATGTTACAGTCAGAGTTTGTCATCTTAATGTTACAGGAAGAGTGTCATCTTAATGTTACAAGCAGAGTTTGTCATGTTAATGTAGCAGTCAGAGTTTGTCATCTGAATGTTACAGGCAAAATTTGTCATCTTAATGTTACAGGCAGAGTTTGTCATCTTAATGTTACAGTCAGAGTTTGTAATCTTAATGATACAGTCAGAGTTTGTCATCTTAATGTTACAGTCAGAGTTTGTCATCTTAATGTTACAGGCAGATTTTGTCATCTTAATGTTACAGGCAGAGTTTGTCATCTTAATGATACAGTCAGAGTTTGTCATTTTAATGTTACAGGCGAGTGTCATCTCAATGTTACAAGCAGAGTTTGTCATCTTAATATTGCAGTTAGAGTTTGTCA